CCCCCTACATTCTCCTCTAGGTTCCAGAACCAGTAGGCCAAATTGTAAACATTCCTAGTAACCTTGTTAATTATCGGATACTGAGTTACAAATGTTCCCATTACATCAGGTAGTGTTATGCGGTAGCGTAGTTGGTTGAGACACTATGCTACAAGCCGGAAGGTAGCGGGTTCCAGTCCCGATGAGATGACATTTTTCAAATGACGTAATTCTTTCAGCAGCGCCATGGCCCTGGGGTCGACTCAGCCTCTAGCAGAAATGAATACCAGGAATTTTTCTTGGGGTAAAGTGCGGACGGCACGTAAGGCTGACAACCTCACCGCCGTCTGTGAGACGATTGTCTAGAAAATGTGGAAGCCTCAACCTCTCACAAACCCATGGGCTTCCACGGCCTGTTACAGGGATAGCTTTGCCTTATTTTTTTTAATGTTAGTGGGGTGAGCCTAAGTTCCTTGTACTGCGGCCACATCTGGCCTATTGTACCAGCCCCAGATGATAGGTGAGGGTGATTGTGGAGCAATTGGTGGAATGAAGATTGGCAGGGGAAACCGAAGTACTCGGAGAGAACCTGCCCCAGCGTCACTTTGTCCACCACAAATCCCACTTGACCAGACCCGGGATCGACCCCGGGCCGCCGCGGTGGGAAACCAGCGACTAACCGCTTGAGCTATGGCGCGGCCCTTATCTTATCTCACCATCACATCAGTTATTGGCCTGGTCTTTGGCAACTGCCTAAAGTTCAAGTACTCCACCTTACGGCGTTAGGCTCGCCACAGACCGACTGAATTCGGAGATGACTTCATTCTATAAATATTTACCTTCCGAACATTTCCATGAATGCAGCGACAGCTCATACTATGATGGGAGAAATAACAGTAAAGCGAAGTACAGTGTGTTCCGTTCAAACCTCCCACATTTTAATTAATCATTGCGAACAAATCGTGATAAATTATGCATTATAATTAACACTAGTTTGAAGAAAAACTGAAAGAATTTTATTTCCGTTTATCTTCGTTGAAGCTACAGCATCTGGCTGCGTATACCTTGACATGTTAGAACAGTTCCTGTATCCCTAGGTAGCCGATCTGCAGCCTAACATAATCTTCCAACAAGATGGAACCCCCTACATTGGGGTCTGGAAGTTCGGAGGTCCCTCACTGCCACTTTCCAAGATCGCTGGATTGGACGTGGCGGACCAATTAGGTAGCCACCACGTTCACCGGACCTCACTCCGCTCGATTTCTTCCTCTGGGGTTACGTGAAGGACCGTGTGTTCGTGCCTCCAGTGAATGACCTCCCAGATTTACGGGCCCGCATCCGCGAAACGATTGCTACTGTAGCAATGGACATGTTGGAAAGAACGCGACAAGAAATTTAATACAGATTGGATACTGTCCGTGCTACCAATGGTGCACGTGTAGAGACTTATTAGTGTGTCAAAAATCTTTGAGTTCTTGTATTTCCTGTAGCTTCATTTTCCTACCACTCATACTTTCTGTTCTAAAATCTGATAAAATGTGGGAGGTTTGAATGGAACACCCTGTATATTGTGCAAGTTAAACACATATGCGTTGTGATACTTGCCACAACTAGAGGGAACCTGTGACTTCATATGGGCTTACAGATACTATGAACGTTTTTTACCCACCTCCTTTTTTCGCAGTTGGATTGTAAACTGAACAGTCTTCAAGAATACATGATACGTTGAATCAAAAATGACATTCCTGTAGCGATGGGCTACGGCGTGAAAGACTGGGGTTCGATTCCAGGCAGGGAGAAAGAGACCTTTCTCTTCTCCACAGCGTCCAGACCGGCTCTGGGGACACCCACCGTCCTATCAAATGCGTGCCCGGCCTCTGTACCCAAAGTTGAAACGGCCCAGGAGTGAAACTAATCATTCACCACCATCTAGTGCCAGGTCAAGAATGGAGTTATACCTCCATTCCCCCACACGTCTTATGGTGTAATCAATTAATTAAGCAAAGGGACAAATTTACCATTAACTGGACATATACTTTGTGCACATTCCTCAGCATTTATACATCCTAGTCACTTTTCTTTGGAACGCGAGAGTGTAATCATACGGGTCATAAGGTCTCGAGTTCGATTCCCTGCACATATTCCGTGCATATTCTAAGAATATCAGTACGTTCAGAATAATAGTTGCGGGTTACTCCTCAGTCACACAGCTGTTTTGTAAACTCGCACTGTCGGCAGTGTTGCGACAGAAAAAATAATTTCCCGATAAGAGGGAGCAGCTGTTTTGTCAATTTTGTGTCGCGAGTGACGCGAATAACCTGGAAGGGGCGTAGAGCGCAAGTGACGTTTGTAGAAGTGACAAAGAGGAGGGAAAGACATGTTAACATATTAAAAGTGTGCAGTCATGTTAGACATAATACTTCTGTGTTTTCAATTAGTTAAATTGCATAACACCTACATGGTCAACTTTTATTTTGTAAAATTCACGTTTGCTGCAGAGCAACGTTTTCAGGCTCACGCATGTCAACTTCAGTGACTACGTTATGAATGCTCATATAATTTTATTATTACTACCATGGTCA